TAGGCGTCAATTTACTTGATAAGTATTTGAGTGATTATTTAGAAAATTTAGATACAAAAGAAGCTTAAAATGGATTTATGGAGTAGTATACTTTAATTAAAAATATAAATTTTTATCCGTAATAATAATTTTTAGGTAATGCTGCATTGGAAAATCTATATCTAAAACTAAATACATAAGCATGTTTATTTTGATTATAATATCAAGAAAATTAATTAAATGTGTAAATATAGGTTGGTTCAAATCTCTGTATAACTATATTCTTCAGATATCTTAGTGGGTTTGATTAAGTTGACTATTTTATTGTGAAATTTCATCTCTTTGTCTAATTGATTAAAGAAAAAACAATTCTTCGATTTCCATGAGAAATTTTATATATCAGTTCAACGAAAGCTATACCTAATGAACTTCTTTTATAACTTGTAACAAAAACAGGTTTGTTCTTTTCGGTTAGCTTAATCGTGTGAAATAGTTCTTTTTTTGGAAATAATAAAACTTGAATGTGATTTTCATCGTGATGAAAAGGAACAGCATGAAGCAAAAATGAAAGAATCATAACATTCGAAATGTTTTACTTTAAATATAGAATATGCTAAACTATCTGAGAGAAATAATGATACATTTGTTGATCACATATATTTACAAATTATTCGAAATATTCATATTGTCTATGAAGATAAATCAACAAAAACTAATTATCCATTTGCTTTTAGAATAACACTTAATTAAATTACATCACATGAAAAATTATTGACAAAAAATACGTACGAAAGATATACCATTAATTCATAAAGTAATAGAGTTGTTTTATAATTTTGTGTATATATCGTTCAATGTGAAATAATATCGATCGACAAATTTCATTATTGATTTATAGCGTGTATTCGAATATCATCTAATACATATACAAATTCAAAATCAAGTGTACCATTCCATAAACAAAAAACAATAACACTTTATTATAATAGAAAACGTTTGCAAAAATAAGAATTAGTCTCATAACGAACCTATCTATCATGTTCATTACAGAATCGTATCTGGGAATAGACCTAGTTTTATGTTTTGTTTAATATTGTTTTTTATAATTCATTTTTATTCACGATATTCAAAGAATATTCACTGATCAATTGGTGGTAATGTTATCTGTTTCAGAAGTGTCCACAGGACAGGGCGATCTGCCCTGCTCTGCAAATTTCAAACAAAACTTTTTCTGTAAAGTGTGTTCATTTGCTATCAAAATATAACGTCAAAGAAAAATGAGAGAGATGTTGTTATCAGCAGGATGTTCGCTCTATCTCACTGATATAAAGAATATATATTCCTATTGAAATAGTACAAACGAATGGAAAGAACGAAAATTACGACAATGGACATATATGAATTTGTACTTGTCGGTCATTTTCTTGTTTTCTACTACGCTCGACACAAATAAAAGGACGAACTCGACAATTGATGATTTACTATTTGATATTCATTCTCCAACGGCTGATGATGGAAACATTACTTCCATTTCTTCTTCCTCGAGTACTTCTACGGCAGCAACTATGTCGTATACATGAGGTCAATTACAGCTACTTTTATCAAAAGACAAAAATAAGTTTTGTATTTTAAAGCATGAAGCAACAAAACCTTTAGCATCCTGGTGGTGATCACTCGGTTATCGAGCAGCTCTTGATAAAAAAAAGAGTTTGAGTGAATCCCTGGTTTCATCAGCTGCTTTAGATGTAATCTTACATCAATTCATGGACCCAATAGTGAAACTAAACGTTTTATTGTACATGCGAACGACTGCTTTCCAATGGTTCCATCAAACTCTGTCTGTGAGGATAGCAAAGATAATTTACAATCGACTCCACTTACGCTGAACAATTTTGTTGTTAAACGAAAAGTAAAATTGTCAGAGAACGAACAGAATGAACTTAAGGACTTCTATGCTAAATGGGTTTGTCAAGATTAACGTCCGTTCAACATAGTTGAGGACAAATATTTTGAAGAGTTTGCTCAAATGTTAAATGTTTCTAATGTTATCCAGGGCAGGGCAGGATACAAAAACATCGCCCTGTGAACACCTCTGATCTATTTTGATAGTTTGATTTCATATGAACTATATGAGTAACTTGTTTTTGATTGTTTTCTTATAAGATAACAAGCATTGAAGTCAAATCCGAATTGTGGTTTCAATCGGTAGTAAACTTCTATATTAAATCAATATCATATCAAACTTCGATAGATGAATTATGAGAGAAAATTGTTTGAGAAGCCAAATAATGTAGCTTTCAGATCGTAGAATACTACAGAAAGTAGTTTTCAGAGTACAAATTAACAGAGTACAAAATCGTCACTTGTAGAGTGGTCAATATATTTTCTTTGATCTAAACTTAGAAAGCTATAAGCATCATTTACAATAAAAAAATGTTTTGTTGAGCAACACCATGATAACTCAATAATGAAAATTAATAAATATATTTACAAGGTAGTTCATAGATAGTAGCGTCTGTTGAAAATAGAAATGAAGGCATAGTCTTTGACACAATTAACAAAATCCGTGATGTTCTACTCAGTTAATCGATAGGATTCGCGTGGTTGAAAGCACCAAACTGGATGAGCTTTACGTTCTCTGAAAAAAATGTGACTGAATGAAATGTACAACATACTAACGAGATCTGTACTTACAAATAAACTCGATCGACAAAATATTTAGCAAGATTTAAGACGAATTCGACTAGATTTTCTTGAAACTTTCCTGTATGTGCCGGATGATAGAAACTTTTGATTGCAATAAAAAGATCACACAAATATTGAAGACATAAACTTCCATTGCCAAACATGGCAACGATTCATCTTGCAATGTCATACGGAAAATAACTATATTCCGGCGGAGACACTTGGATTTTGCTAACAGGTCGCGTAAAACCTCTGAGTATACGCGTAAAGATCTATTATACAGGAAAAGAACGTGTTCTCCACAAGACATGTTTGAAAAAATTCTAATACTTGTGCTAACCACGGTTCCCAATCGATATGACCAATATTGTTTCAGATCACTGTTGCAAAGATGTCGATCATATACTAAATCGAATCATTCACATGAGAAAATAAGATTAAAAATAGTTACGAGTTTCCAGAATGTCATATTGTAGATATTTTGCCAAATACCGAAAAATTCTGGTAACCATAATCTAAAGTAAAAAAGCGGTGCATATTTCGAAGAAAAAAAACGACAAATATAGACACTTGAATCCTTGATTGTGTAATTCTGGAGGTAGATTAAATGGTAAGAAATAACTTAGTATTTTAATGACATGAAAAAAGTTCGAATCGATTGGACACATTTGTGGACGAAATAGATCAAGAATTTATTGAGTAGCCGTCTTCGAAAAGTATGGAGAGCAACGATTTGTACACATCAGGACCGAAAACTCGAAGTCTCTGAAGAGGAAAATAATGACTATTTCTCATAGTCAAATGCAGGAACTACAAACTTCGGCAAAGTGACCAGACCATGAGTTTCATCATGGTTATTATGACTCAATTGAGCCCATCGATAGAGCGTACGCCAGTCAATGACTAGATCATCTCTCGTAATTAAACGAGTCTTTCTACAAAATAGCATCATTGAATCGTTTCTAAATGGTATTTCGAAGAAGTTTTAAATACAAACCGTAAAAGCTCAGAAAGTAGTTCACAACATATTTCCACGCTTGTGTAATGTAAATCTGTTATGGAAAGAACCGATAGATAAAAATTGATGAGTTTGAGATGATCAACTTTGGTGAAATGGAATCCGTACAGAGAAATAAATTGTTGTAATTCGTTTGACCAAAATGAACAGCCCGGTTGTAATTCATTCAATTGAATGTTACAAGATAAATTTTCTCGAATTTCGTCGAAAGTTCTAAAGCCTTGTCGCTTAATAGATTCATAAAATGGTAAATGTTTATTGTAAATATCAGGTTCTTGCAGATTGTTCTCATGTGTCGTTTCGTCTACATTTACATCGTACTTTGTACTGATCTCATGATCTTCAAATTTCATGCTTGATCAAAAGAAACTAAATGAAGTTCAAGCAAGGATACTGTAGAGTGA